CGCACCCAGGGCGCCCCCGGCGGGTACCTTGGCACCGCCGCTGCCTGAGGAAGATGAACAGCGCCAGCGCGGCGAGCAGGGCGAGGAGGAGCGGCAGGCCGCCCGCCACGGTGCCCAGGAAAGCCGCCTTCCACGGCGAGGGCCCCGGTAAGAACACGTCTGGAAAACACGCACAGGGCTCGGCTTGACTCGGGCGCCGCTGAACACTCAGTGACGGACGCTGCGGGGCTAAGCCTCTGTCCCCCGCGCAGCCGTCTGTGAAATGGGCGCGGCGGCGGCTGCCCGGCGCTAGGGAAGGTGGGGTCCCGAGGAACTGCGGGGGACGCGGCGTAGCGCCCGGCGAGGGAGGGGCCGACTTCGGAAACCCAGCGGGCTACTGCTCTGCACCCGAACCGTCGAATCCACAAGCCACCTCCCCGCTTCCTGCAAACACTTGCAAAGGTCGTCTCGTCGCACCTTTGGGAGAACTGAGAGCCAAGCCTCCTGGGGCTGGCTGACGGGCCCCCCTTTGCTCCCCGGTTCCCTGGCGAAGCCTCTGCAGACAGTCAACAGGTGCAAAAGGGAGAATCGCCCTTTAGAAACCCTTGTGGCCATTTAATGGAGTAATTGCGTGTCAGTTGAAGTTAATTATAAAAAAATTGTTGCTTTTATCTCAGTGGTCTTTTAAGTTTTTTTTCTTTTTATTGTGGTTACATATACCCGACATACAATGCACTATCACAGCCATTGCTAAGCTGACAGCTCAGTGGCATTAAGTAGTTCACATGGTTGTGCAGCCACCAGAACTTTATCACCTTCCCAAACTGCAAATGTCCCCATCAAACACCAACTCCCCATTTCCCGCCCTCCTAGCCCCTGGTAACCTCGACTCTACTTTCCTGTCTCCATGAATTGACTACTCTAAGTACCTTATAAAAGTGGAATCATACAAAATTTGTTCTTTTGTGTCTGACATTTCACTTAGCACAATGTGATCTTTTGTTTATTAAAAATTTTTCTAGCGGTGCATGTTTATTGTCTGGTACAAAACTACTGGGCCACACGAATTGGCCTTCACCACAGATAAAGGCTGAGAGCAAAGGCTCAGGGCCTGATGCCACCCTGACCAGCTACCCTTGACCGTGTCCCTGTTCCCTCCTCTCCCACCTCCTCCTGCTCCTCCTGGAGCCACACACATTCCCATCTCAGGACCTTTGCACTTGTGTTCTCTCTACCTGAATGCCCCTGACAGACATCCATGTTACTCACACCCTCTTTAAAGGATGAACACAAATCTAAAAAAAAAAAAAAGGAATTTCCCTGGTGTAAAAAGGGAAAGAGACTTCCCTTTCTCCCTTCTTAGATCATTTTCTTTGGAAAACTTGTAAATCTTTTCTCTATCCTGTTGACATGTATGCAAATCATTTTGAAGGCTAAATATGCCTCTTGCCAGCTGTACAGCCCAGGGATGTTTCTCTTCAGGAGCTCAGAGCCATCTCGTGGAAATGTAAACATCCAGGAGAAAGCACCTCTGTTTCTGTGTCCTGGGAATTTAACTAAGGCACTTGGCTCCAAATTGTAACTTCATTCTTGTCGTAAAGATATGAGATGTTCTCTCTTTCCTTTGGATAGACAATTAGCTAACATAGCCCTGGCTGGGTAGCTCAGTTAGTATTGTTCCGATACGCCAAGGCTGTGGGCTCTACCCCCACCAGGGCACAAACAAGAATCAACCAATGAATGAATAAATAAGTGAAAAAACAAATTGATCTCTCTCTCTCTCTCTTTCTCTCTCTCTAAAATAGATAACTTTTTAGATATCTCTAAAATAGATAACTTTTTAAAAGAGACAATTAGCTAACACAGATGGCCACCCCAATCACCAGAGAGAGACAGAAAGGAAGAGAGAAAGAGAGAGGAGGAGAGTGAGAGAGAGAAACATTGATGTGAGAGAGACACACTGATTGTGTTTCCTCCTGCACGTGCCCCTTCCAGGGCTGGAGATCAAACCTGCAACCCAGGTGCATGTGTGCCCTTGACTGGGAATTGAACCTGCAACCTTTCAGTGCTCCAGCTGATGCTCTAACCACTAAGGACACTGGCCAGAGCACCAGCCATATTTTAAATGAACTATGTGTGCTGTCAAGTCCTCTTACCTGAGGACAAGTTATCATTTATAAGGGTGAAATTTCTTTCTGTTATTATAACTATTGATTTGGACTTATGTGGAAAATTGCCCATAGATTGGGTTTGTCCTCAAGACTTAAAACAATTAGAGCCGTGAGCATTAAACCTTTCAGTGGGTCCTCACAAAAAGGCTTTGATGTTACATAATGGCCTCACCTTCAACTCATTACCTGACTTCTTCCCTGACCCACCACTTTTAAATCCACATACCTCCCCCGCCTCATGTCTTATCACCCTTTCTTACCTCATTCCCTGCAGCACCTAACACCTTCTAATGTACAATGTAATTTGCCCTTTTATTTGTGTGTTTCCCCCACTGGAATGTGAACCTGAGGTCAAGGGTTTGGGGCACATTGTGAGTGCTCAGTGAATATTGTTTGAGGGATCACATTAGGAACACTTGCCTCTAGTGGGTAGAGTTTCTGGGTTTTAGCTTACGGCCCTGTAATGTTGACTCTCTGGGGCCTTCCCTGTTTATGATTTGGGTTGTCAGTTGTAGTCTTAGTAGGTTCCTGGTGTCCAAATTGCTGACTTTTCAGATGTCAAGGTCAGCTCACCCATAGACAGCCAGGCCCCCTACCACTGTGACCTTCTAGATGGACTCTGGGACAACAGACATGGAGGACATAGTGATCAGGAAGATGAAGGTGAGCCAGGACCCACTGACCTGCTATTTGGACCATGAACTCTTTCTTTTGGAGCAGAATGGGGTTCTGGATGGAGCAGGACACATTGTGGTGGGTACCCTCTTGGACGACCACAGATGTTTCCAGACTGAACAGGTCCTGGGCGTCCTGGATGATGGCTTCGAACTCCACAGTCAGGCACTGTCCCCGATGGTCTCTCCACTGGACCTGGGGCTTGGGGTACCAGCCACTGGAGCTGCACCTGAGCTGAATGCCTCCTTCCTTGAAGCCCACAAGGGAGATGTGAGGGTCTGACCCCATCCCTGGGAGAGGCAGGAGGAGAGGGAAAAGTTAGGCTCCTTCCCAGAAGTTGTGGGTGAAGCTTATCATTTGCAGTCACCATAAGGCATCACGAACTATGGCTTCTCTGAACACAACTGTGGGCTCATAGCCTCTGCCCATGGACTGTAAGTGACAGTCTGAATCAGTGGCGGAATGTGGGCACAGTACTGCCCCCAAGGAACATTTGGAATTATGGAGGGGAGCCATTTTACTCGAAGGGGCTACTGAAATTTAGTTATATTATGCAAGGGACAGTCCCCGAGAATGAATAATTCTCCCCAAATCTCAACAGATTGTCTTCTGTCTCCTAAATCCCACCAGAGCTCAAGTGCCTGTGAACTAACACTCCTTTATTGTCCCATCCTTGTGGTGCTAGCCTTATGCTTTAAATGTAGACATCATTAATATGGTTTAAATGCCAATACTGTAAAAAATGTATGTCAGGAAAGCCCAAACCTTTCTCCATCCTTTCTACCCCACTGCACTCCCACCCTTAGCGAACTCATTTCACTGGTTTCTAGTTTATCCTGCCTGTGTGTCTTTTGTGCAGTGTTTCCCCTTCTTTCTCACACAAATCTTTACAGCGTCCTATGCATCTTGGTTTCCTTTTGTCTTAACAACAACCTGACGTCACTCCACACAGTCCGTAGAGCTACCCCTAGTGCTTCAGGTGCGGAGTGTGGGTCACTCCACGCGTGCTGGGCCACACTCGGCACCTGTGCTGCTCACTTAGGTTGCTTCCGTTAATTTGCAATGACAAATAATGCTACAGAGATTAAACTTATACATATGCCTTTTTCATATTTAGCTGTGGGAGGCGTATCTTCAGCGTGAACTCCTAGAGGTGAGATTGGTGCTGAAAAGGTAGGTGCACAGTCAGTCCTGTTACTGCCAAATCCCCAGGCACTGGAGCTTTGTAACTTTGAACTCTGCATGGTGCAGAGCAGAGGGCCTCCTTCCCCACAGCTCCACTGTGGGGGGGTGTGTGTGTGAGGGGGGGGTCGAATTTTAAAATTTTTGCCAGTCTGAGAGGTAAAAAATTGCATGTCAGTGTGGCTTAAATGTGCCTTTCATTATGAGTAAAAGTGGTCATCTTTCCCTATGTTTAAGGGCTATTTGTGTATCTTTTTTCGTGAACAAATTTTTGGGTTCATTTTGTTTCTTTTCTTTTTTAAAAAAAAAAAAACAGAGCTATTCCCCTGCTCTGGGCGCTTCCCTGTCTACTCTTGAGCAAAGCAGCTCTACCCAAACGCGCCTCGGCTGCGCCCCCCGGTGGCGGCCGCCGGCTCACTCACCCGTCACCTCCAGCTCCCAGACGGCCTCCCCGGCGAAGTCGGCGGAGAGGAAGCGGCAGCCGTAGGGGCCCTGGTCGGCGGGGCGCACGGCCTGGAGCTGCAGGCCCACGGCGCC